AAGTTGGGGTGGAGATGTTAACCTGGGGAGCATTTAGATGATAGGAAGGCCATGAGGCTAGAATCACCTGGGGATAAGCGTAACAAGAAAAGGGAAAAGGGCCAGTGGCTGATCCAGGCTGCTTGGATGTTGGGGATTAGAGAGGTAACGAGGAACTTGCCAAGCGATGTAGCAGCTCGTGAGGTAGAGGGGGCACTGTTCTGGAAGCCCAGGGAGAGGGAGCAGTCAGCTGTGCCAGGCCTCCAGGTGAAGATGGAGAGGTGCCCCTTGGACTTCATAGCACAGAGGTTGTGGTGACCTTGAGACAGGCAGTGGAGAGGGTTCAGGGAATGGATGGCTCCTTCAAGGCATTGCTGTGAAGGGGAGCAGACAAGGGGGTGGGCAGTAGCTAGAGAGGTACACAGGGGCAAGACAGGTTTGGGGTGAGAGAGAGAACAGCCTGTTTGCAATGCTGATGGCAGATCCACGGAGCGAATGTGGAGTGATGCAGCAAGTTTCTTACCTGCAAAGTGACGGCCTACCTCCTGCTGACAGGGTCAGACAGCTGGCATCTGGACAGAGCCAGTGCTCCTGAACAGCACTTGCTGGTAGCAGGCCGACCCCTCATACAGAGCAGGATCCGCTCGGGAGTTTGGGTGCTGACTGCCAGGCTCTTGAGCAGGAAGAGGAGTGGTTCCCATCCTCCCCTCCCTGATACCACCTCCCAGGAGGGAAAGCCTTTCCCCCATCTTCTCCATCCTGTTGCTAGGCCCAGCAGTATCCTGTAGCCCCACATTCTGGCAGGGCACCCCTGGAGGGCAGGGAATGCTTCCCATCAGGCCTAGGAGGGTGCCAAGTCACCGGCAGTGGTATTTGACTGAGTGACCTTACTTTGTCCCCCCAGTGCCTGTGCGGAGGCCCAAACTCCCAGCATCCCTGGGGTGGTGGTGGAGGCACTGCTGAATTTCCCCTCAGAGGCAATGGTGGGTGGGCCCTGCATGAGCTGGACCTGCAGCATCTGGCTGCTCTCCTCTGTCCAGATGGGAGCTAGAGAGCTGGGTGCCAGAGGTACGGGCTGGATTAGGGCTGGTAGGAGGAGGCCTCACTTTACTGAGACTGGTCACTCCTTCCTTGCCAGAACCCTGGGCTTTTCTTTACTCAGATGAGGAAACCAAACTGAGAGAAAGGGTTCTGATCCAGCCTCATCCTCAAGACTTCGAGTCTCAGAGTAGTGCTGTTTACCTGTCTAGTCCCAGGTGGACTCAGCCTACAGGTCAGAGGTCATGAGAGGTTGGGTGAGGCCACTGGAGATGTTCATGTTTCTTCAGTATATCAGCCAAGGACCTGAAGAATATGCTGTCCCAGGTCAACTACCGGGTCCCCAACATGCGCTCCCTCCGAGAGCGTCTGACGGTAAGGGCCTCCTGGTCTATCTGCGGTAGGTGAGTGGGGAGGCCGGGAGCCCATGGCTGGTGGGGCTGACCAGAATCCTGCGGTATACCTTGCAGGACCTGGAGCTGCGCAGCAGCGATATCACCTATGGGCAGTTTGCTCAGGTGTACCGCAGCCTCATGTACAGCGACCAGAAGACGGTGCATGAAGCTACCTGCCCTCCCACGGCCCTTGCCCCTGCTCTCCTGCCCTAGCCCTGCTTGTGTCAGCCCTGCTGCCCTGCTTGGGGGCTTTTGGGTGCCATTTCTCCAGCTCTTCTCCTCCTGAGGCCTACCCCCATCTGTCACCCCAGCCTTTCTTTCTGAGAGCCCCTTTCCCACATGGCCTCCCAGGGCTCCCGCTCTGACCAGGTTCTGTCTCCTGCAGATGGACCTCCCCTTCTTGGAAGCCTGCGCCCCAAGGTTTGGTTTGAAATGGGGAGGTGGGGTTCCTTATGCGAACAGAAGGTAGTGGGAGGGGGTGATCCCATATTGGATCATTCTTGGCAAATGTGCTGGCTGGGAGCTGGGCTCTGCCTTCCAAGGGGCCCCTTATTGTCTGTGGACCATGTGAGCCAGCTGGCCGCCAGGCATTTCCCTTCTCTCCTGCAGGGCAGGGGAGCGGCCGGAGCTCTGCCGAATGTCCCTTCCGGAGTTCCAGCAGTTCCTCCTTGAGTACCAGGCGGTATGCTGGGCTGGGCTGGGACTGGGTCAGGGTTCCCGGCTGACGGTGGCTGGGCTCATCACTGACTGGAGCCTCTCATGTGCCCCCACCCTGCCCACCCCCATCAGGAGCTGTGGGCTGTCGACCGACTCCAGGTGCAGGAGTTCATGCTCGACTTCCTCCGAGACCCCTTGAGAGAGATTGAGGAGCCATACTTCTCCCTGGATGAGGTGAGGCCTGCTTTTCACCCCTCTGTCAGAGAGATGGGTCGGGCTGCCCAGGACCCCACCAGGTTTCCAGGAACTGATTTGCCTTAGGGGTGCCACCTTGCCCACCCCACTTAAGAATGAGCACCCTCTCCTTCCCCTGCCAGTGGGCTAGGCCTGGGGCTCAGTTTCTCTTCCCTTCCCCTCCCCATGTGTTCCTGGACAGTTTGTCACCTTCCTGTTCTCTAAGGAGAACAGTGTGTGGAACTCGCAGCTGGATGTGGTGTGCCCGGACACCATGAACAACCCTCTCTCTCACTATTGGATCTCCTCCTCGCACAACACGTGAGCGGCGCCCTTGGCCCCACCCAGCCTGACCTGGGGAGGGAGGGACTCACCTAACCACCCTGCCTTTCCTTCCCCATCTAGGTACCTGACCGGGGACCAGTTCTCCAGCGAGTCCTCCCTGGAAGCCTATGCTCGCTGCCTGCGCATGGGCTGCCGCTGTATTGAGTGTGCGTTGGGGCCAGGGCTCGGGGAGGAGGATGGGAGGCCTGCCCACTTGACCGTACTCATGTTGTTCCCCAGTGGACTGCTGGGACGGCCCAGACGGGATGCCAGTCATTTACCATGGACACACCCTTACAACCAAGATCAAGTTCTCAGACGTCCTGCACACCATCAAGGAGCATGCCTTCGTGGCCTCAGAGTGAGTGTGGGTAGGGACCCTGGCTCGGCTGGGCTCCAGCTCTCTCCTATGGCAAAAGGTAGAGGGCCCCCTCAGAGGTCCAGTCCCCATTCCACCTGCCTTTCATCTTCATCCTTCCTCTCCTGCTGCTTGTGCGAGCCATTGCTTCCCACAGAACTCCCTGTTTCCTGCATCCTTGTTTCCCCTTTTGTGGGTCCTTCTCCTTAGGTTGTGGAACACAGTCAAGCTCTTCCCATCCTTAAAAAAAAAATACTTAACCCTGACCATTGTCCTGCCAAGTCTTCCCTTCACAGCCCAGAAAATTACTTTGTCCCGTGTCCCATTCTACAACTCCTATTCACCCTCACCTGTGGTCACTGTGGGACGGGCTCTGGGAGGAGATCAGCAGTGACCAGGGCACTGGTCTCTGCTGCCTCATTGAAGGGATCACCAGGGCCGCCCAGTAGCTGAATTTGGAGGCTGCTTCTCCTCTTACCTGACCTCTTTGGTGTGGGATCTCTCTCCTGCTGGGGCAGCCTCCACCGGGGAACCAACTCATGGGACTGCAGCAGATCTGAGTCCCCAGAGTGCCCCTTTAGCACCTCTCCACCCTTCCAGTGGCCAGAACCTGCCTCCTCTCTGGGATAGCTCCCTGTAGATGGGACCCCAGGCCCTTGGCTCCTAAAACCTCACTGTGAGGGCTGTTTGGACTGAGATTTGACCCTGCAGAACCGTAGGGTCTGTGTTAGAACGAAGTAGTGGGGACACCACTTCTGGAAGAGTCCGAAGTGGAGCCGTGACAGGGTGGTCCCCTACCCTGCAGGTACCCGGTCATCCTGTCCATCGAGGACCACTGCAGCATTGCTCAGCAGAGGAACATGGCCCAGTACTTCAAGAAGGTGCTCGGGGACACACTCCTCACCAAGCCCGTGGACATTGCTGCCGATGGGCTCCCTTCCCCCAACCAGCTCAAGAGGAAGATCCTTATCAAGGTAGGGAGATGGGCTGGGGGCCTCCTGCTCAGGACCTCCCCATGGTCATTGGTCCGGCTGCTGGTCTGCGGCCTTGGTGAGGCAGTGTGGCTCTGGGACTCTGGCTGGCACTGCCATATCCTGGCCTGCTATCCACAGCACAAGAAGCTGGCTGAGGGCAGTGCCTATGAGGAGGTGCCTTCGTCTGTGATGTACTCTGAGAACGACATCAGCAACTCCATCAAGAATGGGATCCTCTACCTGGAAGACCCCGTGAACCATGTGAGGGCAGAACTGGCTGGGCCGGACTGGGCAGGGTGGGACAGGTGGTGGGAGCACCCTGTCACGGCCCCACGTCCGTCTCTTCCAGGAGTGGTATCCCCACTACTTTGTTCTGACCAGCAGCAAGATCTACTACTCTGAGGAGACCAGCAGTGACCAGGGCAATGAGGATGAGGAAGAGCCCAAGGAGGTGAGGGGCCAGCCCACGGCTGGGGGCTGGGCTGGGCTCAGAGTCACTGAGTGTCTTTGCTATCGTCCTCCCCCGTGCAGGCCAGTGGCAGCACCGAGCTGCACTCCAATGAGAAGTGGTTCCATGGGAAGCTTGGGGCAGGACGGGACGGGAGGCACATTGCCGAGCGCCTGCTGACTGAGTACTGCATTGAGACCGGGGCCCCTGATGGCTCCTTCCTAGTGCGCGAGAGCGAGACCTTCGTTGGCGACTACACCCTCTCTTTCTGGTAACCCACTCCCCATGCTTGTGCACATGGGTGCAGCACCACCCTGAGGTAGCTGTGATCCATTTTCTTTCCTTCCAGGCTTTCAGGGGAAACATTTAATCTCACCCACAAGCTTACATACACTTACCCAGTTAGCGGCCTCCCTCCTGCAGGGCTGCCCTGTCCCCCTCTAAGATTTGGTGCCTGTGTGGGACTCGGGCCTGTGCTCACTGCTTCCCCTCTTCCCTCAGGCGGAACGGGAAGGTCCAACACTGCCGGATCCACTCCCGGCAGGATGCTGGGACCCCCAAGTTCTTCTTGACAGACAACCTTGTATTTGACTCACTCTATGACCTCATCACGCACTACCAGCAGGTGCCCCTGCGCTGCAATGAATTTGAGATGCGCCTCTCGGAGCCTGTCCCCCAGACCAATGCCCACGAAAGCAAAGAGTGAGGGCGGGGATGGGGGTGGGTGGGGACCTGAGTGGTGATGGAGGGAAAGGTCCTGACTCAGGCCTGTCCTCAGATGGTACCACGCAAGCCTGACCAGAGCGCAGGCTGAGCACATGCTGATGCGCGTCCCCCGTGATGGGGCCTTCCTGGTGCGGAAACGGAATGAGCCCAACTCCTACGCCATCTCCTTCCGGTGAGGCGTGTGGCCTGGGATGCTGGAGGTGGTGCTGGCCTGCAGCTGGTCCCCTGTGTGACTGTTCTGTCCTTGTCAAGGGCTGAAGGCAAGATCAAGCATTGCCGCGTCCAGCAGGAGGGCCAGACAGTGATGCTGGGCAACTCGGAGTTTGACAGCCTTGTCGACCTCATCAGTTACTATGAGAAGCATCCACTGTATCGAAAGATGAAGCTGCGCTATCCCATCAATGAGGAGGCACTGGAGAAGATAGGCACAGCTGTGAGGACTGGTTGAGGGGTGCAGCAGGCAGGAGAGAGACAAGCATGACCCTCCCGGGCTCGCTGCTGAGAGGCCCAGAATCTACCAGTCAGGATAATCCAGATGTGTGGGGTGGGACTGGGCACAAGTTAGGCAGATGAGGTGGGGGACAGCCATTCAAGCAGTGGGCCCTGTGGGTCAAGGTGTGGGTGAAGGTGTCCTGGTGGAGTCCCATCAGGTGGAGAGGATGGGCCCGAGGATGGGGGCTTATCCAGACGGGTGTGGACTAGAGTGTTCCTGGGGCAGGAGAGAGTAGGCTACAGAAGTGGATCTTGGAGAACAGAGCTCCAGGGGGAGGAGACTGGTGAAAAGGCAGGACAGTGAGGGTTCTGGACCAGGGTCTCGATAAAAGGAAGGAGTCTGGGACGGAAGAGCCACTTGAGGCTCTTGTCATCAGTGACACAAATGGCATGGCCAGGGAGAAGACTGCCATCCACTGGAGCTGGGGTGGTGGAAAGGTGTGTGCTGGGGGTCAGGCTCAGCGGAGTGAGTGAGTGAACTGCCGAACAGAGCTCCGCTGCAGTGAGCTTGCTAATGGGGTGGGTCTCAAGCTAAGAATGTGGAGAGGGGAAGGGGTGAGGCCATGCCCACTGAGGTAGGAAGACCAGGAACCAGTGAAGAGGGCAGAGTTAGTGACCAGCTGCCCTCGGAAAGAGGCATGTGGCAGCCAGCACCCCTTTCGTCTCTGGGTGTTAACATGTCCCCATTCTGTCCCCTTTCTAGGAGCCTGACTATGGGGCCTTGTATGAGGGACGCAACCCTGGCTTTTATGTGGAGGCAAACCCTATGCCGACTTTTAAGGTACAGCCTCGGGCCTGTGGCCACAGGAAGCTGGGGAGAGTCCCCAACTGCTTAGGGCTTACATTTCTCTGCTCAGGGCCCATCTGTGGTCTTTGTGGAGAAGTGGTATTTGTGGTTTTCTGAGGCCTGAAAGGTTATGAGAAATGTGTGGTTGGTGTGTGGCCGCAGCTCTCTCAGGGCCAACCCCTCCCAGCCCCTGTCCCTGGGGGTCGGCACTGACCCTGTAGACTGCTCCCCGGGGTAACCCTGGTTTCCTCCTTGGCAGCAGTGGGGGGAAGGGGCACACTTGTCAGAAAACTTTGTTTTTGCTACTCACTCCCTCACCTCGTGGTGATCTTTCCAGACAGGATCTTTCTCTAAGGGGTAGGACCTGTGCCCTATCCCTTCCCCACCCCACCCCCTTTTCCTCAGCAGCCAGGAAGCCTGGGAGAAGGTTCCTTTTTATTTTCAGATGAGGAATGATGGGGTCCCAGGGACCTGCAAGGTTTCACCTGGACCCCGAGGAGCTTCCCTGGTAGAGGTGTGGCTCTGTCCCCAGTGACATCTGTCCTGGAATCTCCTGCAGGGCAGTGTTGAGGACTGTAACTAGGCGGGCTGCTGCCTAGCTGGGAAGCTCAGGAGCTAGTGTGTGCACGTGAGGCTGTAGTCGGGAGAGTGGCGGACAGGGACTGTGCTCTCACCACTGCTTCTCTCTGTGCAGTGTGCAGTCAAAGCCCTCTTTGACTACAAGGCGCAGAGAGACGACGAGCTGACTTTCACCAAGAGCGCCATCATCCAGAATGTGGAGAAGCAGGACGGAGGCTGGTGAGCTGGGTCCCTGGGCTGGAGAGCCCTACAAGTGCCTGTCTGTCCCACGTGTGTCTCCACAGTGCCTGCCGTGGCTTAGGTGTGGGGTCCCTGACAAAGGATACACCCCTCGTGGGTGTTTGGGGTGATTGCTGGGGGTCAGCAGCCTGTGGCTTCCACAGGTGGCGAGGAGACTATGGTGGGAAGAAGCAACTCTGGTTCCCGTCAAACTACGTGGAGGAGATGGTCAGCCCAGCAGTCCTGGAGCCTGAGAGGGAGGTGAGGCATGAACTGCTGGCAGAACAGGAGTCCCACCACCAGCTCCCCTGTGCACACACTCATCACAGTCAGGTGTGCCTGCGCATGCACAGCCAGCCCACACGTGTGGTCATCACAGCTGTGGTGTCCATGGTCTCCAACATATACATGCCACGTCTGTTTAATCATGTGCACACTTACAAGATGTATTTGTCGTATGCAACAGACATCCCCTCACACGCATGTATACAGGAGGCCTGCTGATGAACCTGTGGGCTTTGCTTCCCACAGCACTTGGACGAGAACAGCCCCCTGGGGGACTTGCTGCGGGGGGTCTTGGATGTTCCAGCTTGTCAGATTGGTGAGCCCCATCCTCTTCTCTCACCCACTGTTCCTCAGTGTCAGGCTCTCTCCATGCTCCAAGGGGGTGGGGGGCCGGTGGTGGCCCCAAAGGCTGCTCTCACTCTGAGTTCTTCCCATACTTAGACATCCCCTTGACACCACCCAGGCTCCTTTCTGCATGCTCACCCTGGGCCAGGCACAGCAGCTGATGCTGACATCCACAGTCCCAGTGGGTTGAGTCACAGGGTTTGACAGATGGTTGGGGCGGGTACCAGGGTCCAGATTTGAGGCCTATATCAGACAGACCAGGTTCAAGCCCTGGCCTCCCCACTCCTGGCAGTGCAAACAGGCCTGGCAGAGTAGCGCTGCCTCCCTCCAAGTGTTGGGAGGAAGAAAGGTGATGAGAAAACTTGAGGAAGGCACCGAAAGTGTCTGACCAAGCTCTTCTCTTTGCTCCCCCAGCCATCCGTCCTGAGGGCAAGAACAATCGGCCATTCGTCTTCTCCATCAGTATGGCATCGGTGGCGCAATGGTCCCTGGATGTTGCTGCCGACTCACAGGAGGAGCTGCAGGACTGGGTGAAAAAGATCCGTGAAGTGGCCCAGACCGCAGATGCCAGGGTAAGTGCCTGCCGGAGTCTGCGGGGTGCTGGGTGGGCAGCATGTTAGCCTCTAGGCAAGGATCTGGAGGAAACCCACATGAGCTAGCGATGTGGCCTGTTAGGGTGTGTTGAGATACGTGAGGCCATCCAGGTGGGTCTTCTCAGTGGGGCAGTTGGATACACAGGGCAGAGGTTAGAGGAGAAGTCTTGGGCTGGAGGCATGAGGACCGGAAAGGAGGAAGAGGAGCCTGGGAAGGACAGGGCTGTGGAGTCTCCCACAGGCATGGTAAGAATCTGAAAGTACCCGTTGGGTTTGGCAGCAGAAAATGGCCTTGGTGACACTAACAAGAGCCATGTCAGTGTCAGGGCTGGTACTGGATGGCAGTGGCCAGGCTCTCTGGGATCTGGCTATGGAAGAGAGCAGAGGGCTGAGATTTGGGTGGGCATTAATGCCAACAGCTCAGGAGCCAGCGGGATGGAGCCCGAGCTTGGCTGGAAGATAAGCCTTCTGGGGGAACGGAGAGAAGGAAGTACTCGCAAGGATAAAGGAGTTACACTTGGTGACCATTTAAATGCCCTAGTCATTTAGGGTGGAGTAGAGTGGCCTCAAAACAGATTTGTGAGCTGAACATAGTGGGGACGGGTCTGAGGATTGTGCCAAAAGTGTGGCCTGGGATAAGGTACTGGCAGGTGGTTGGAGGGATGGATCCCAGGGTCTAGGCTGAAAGGGGAAGAAAGAGGCTCTGAGTAGATGAGCCCCTGGTGGAAGTGGACCTCCAGGGGTAAGAGGACAGGATGGGGGCTCTCAGGAGTGGGCTTCGTTGCCAAAATGTGGCTGTGGCAGTAGATGTTGCGTTGGACTGGGGGAGCTGAGGCAATAAGGCTCAGGGTGGTGGAAGGATGGTCCTTGGGGTACAGAAGACCAAGCCAGAGGCCCAAGTTCCCAGTGAAGTCACAGGGAACCAGGAGGTGATGACCCTTTGGCCTGAGAAAAGCTAGGTAACAGATGGTGACAAAGCATCCTTGGGTAGTGCAGCCAACCCGGACCCCACCCTCTTCTCAGGCAGAGAGGAGGAAGGACAGTCCTGGGTTGAGGCTGAAATAGAGGGCTCTGTGTGTGGTCCAGTGGGGTCTGGAAGGTGCAGGGGACCTACCGTGTGGACTGCCCAAGGCTGGCAGGGGCTGCTTTCTTCTCGGTGGGGCTCCGCCTGGGGCTACAGCGCCCTTGTGTGTGCCACCAGCTCACTGAGGGGAAGATGATGGAGCGGAGGAAGAAGATCGCCCTTGAACTCTCCGAGCTTGTCGTCTACTGCCGGCCTGTTCCCTTCGATGAAGAGAGTAAGGGCCGAGGCACAGCGGGGTGCTCTCCATGGGGGGTGCAGGAGGAGTGTTGAGTCCCTTTATGCAGGGATTGGGTGCTGGCCCCCCAACTATGCCTGGGTGGGTGGGCTCTGTAAGTGTCCTCCGTTTGGCCCAGAGATTGGCACAGAACGTGCCTGCTACCGGGACATGTCGTCCTTCCCGGAAACCAAGGCGGAGAAGTATGTGAACAAGGCCAAAGGCAAGAAGTTCCTGCAGTACAACCGGCTGCAGCTCTCCCGCATCTACCCCAAGGGCCAGCGGCTAGACTCCTCCAATTATGACCCCTTGCCCATGTGGATCTGTGGCAGTCAGCTGGTGGCCCTCAACTTCCAGACCCCAGGTGAGGAGGTGCTGTGGGGTGGGGAGGAGCACCCCGGGCAGTGGGGCTGGAGGTCACTCACCTGGCTCTTGCAGACAAGCCCATGCAGATGAACCAGGCCCTCTTCATGACCGGCGGGCACTGCGGCTATGTGCTGCAGCCCAGCACCATGCGGGACGAGGCCTTCGACCCCTTTGACAAGAGCAGCCTCCGAGGGCTGGAGCCACGCGCCATCTGCATCGAGGTGGGCTTCTGAGTGGGAATGGGCTCGTTTCAGGAGCCAAAGATGGGATGCTGGTTAAGACTGAGGACGGGCACTGCTCTGTTGTTGAGCTTGAGGAAGACATAACTGTCCTGAGGTGGAAAGGCAGGTAGCAGTCTCAGCAGCAGGGCTGCTCCTGAAGCCAAGCCAAGGGTAACCACTGTCTGGGAGAAGGGCAGGAAGCTAGTGCCAGTGAACCAGGGGCGTGGTGCTCAGGAGAGCGACTCGCCCCAGGCTCGCATGCTTTTGTAGCAGTTCTTGAACAACCCTGCTGCCCTGCTGATGTGGGGTTCGGGGTGCTTGGGGCCTGAGCAGAGTCTTGGAGGAAGAGTGAGGAGAGTATGGAGTGAGCATCTGCTTCTGAGAAAAGAGATTCCTTTTTCCCCTAGAGGTAATTTGAAAGATTTCTATGTTAAAACAGACATGGATTTAATGTGAAGTAGATTGCAAAAACTCATGAAAATTTTGGTTAAAGCTAAGACATCTTCAAATGAAGATTTGCTTGCTGTCAGCAGGTACTCCTAGGGACTTAAGGGGCAGTGTCCTGGGGGCCCAGCAGAGGGCGCACTGCCTTCACTGCATGGTGGGGACTTGGAGGGAGCAGGAAGGACAATCCCAGGCCCATCTTTGCCTGCCTTACAGGTGCTGGGCGCCCGGCATCTACCAAAGAATGGCCGCGGCATTGTGTGTCCCTTTGTGGAGATTGAGGTTGCTGGAGCTGAGTATGACAACAACAAGCAGAAGACAGAGTTTGTGGGTGAGCCTTCCTTCCCCACTCCTGTCCTCATCCTCCCCTCTGCACCAGCGGCCCTATCCTCTTGAGGTGATGGCTTAAGGCCTTTTATCCTTGCTTTCGCAGTGGACAATGGCCTCAACCCCGTGTGGCCGGCCAAGCCCTTCCACTTCCAAATCAGTAACCCTGAATTCGCTTTCCTGCGCTTTGTGGTGTATGAGGAAGACATGTTTAGTGACCAGAACTTCCTGGCTCAGGCTACTTTCCCAGTGAAAGGCCTGAAGACAGGTGAGGACCCTGCCTGTGATCTGGGGTGGGAGGGTGGGGGCCCTTCCTCAGCTCCCTCCCAGGCTGAGGGCCAGGCTTTCCTCCCAGGATACAGAGCAGTGCCTTTGAAGAACAACTACAGTGAGGACCTGGAGTTGGCTTCCCTACTGGTCAAGGTCGACATTTTCCCTGCCAAGGTAATGGCAGGGGGTGGGACCCTGGCTGGGCGCAGCCTCACAGGTGCAGGGGAGTCACTGACCTCCGGTGCACTTCCCTCCTGGAAGCAGGAGAACGGTGACCTCAGTCCCTTCAGTGGCACGTCCCTGCGGGAGCGGGGCTCTGATGCCTCGGGCCAACTGTTCCATGGCCGGGCCCGCGAAGGCTCCTTTGAAGCGCGCTACCAGCAGCCATTTGAAGACTTTCGCATCTCCCAGGAGCATCTCCCAGACAATTTTGACAGCCGGGAGAGAAGGTGAGGGGTGGGGGGTGGGTGCCATTATGCATCTCAGCAGAGGGGGTGCTAGAGAGATGGGAAGTGGTTTGGTCAGTCATCCTTTGATACCCTTTTCTCCTGGGTATAAAAGTTGTAACTGTCTGTCCTGGGGCTGGGCTGCAAGGCCCTACTGCCAGTAAGGACACTCGTCCCTTCTGTCCAGGGCCCCACGAAGGACTCGGGTCAACGGAGACAATCGCCTCTAGCTGTGCCCCAGCCTCATGGAGAGCAGCAGGTGCTGCGTGCCTCTTGGAATGCCGTGAACTGGGTTCGTTGGAAGCGGCCTGCCATGGCACCCTTCCTGGTCTCGCAGCCTGGAGCCTGAATTCCAGCAGAGAATGCTAGACAAAAACCAAGCCATTAAGATGTATTCCTGTTTGGGGCCACCACAGCCCAGCCTGAGTGAAGGCAAAAACTGTACTGTGTCTCGCATTAAGCACACACATCTGGCCTGACTTCTGGAGGTGGATCCTACCATCTTATGGGGCCAGGACCATGTCCGAAGCCCCTTGGAGAGAGAGGCTGCCTCAGCTGGCATCACAGGAGGCTCTGAGGAGCAGCAGCAGCCTTGCTGGGCCAGGGAAACCAAGTTTACATTGTCCTGCAGCTTTAAAACCATAGCCGGGCAGGGTGGGGGGTGGATGCCCCCCATTTTGGCCTTGGAGTTAGGGCACAGGAGCACAGGGCCTGCCCGAGGAGGAGGACACAGCACAAGGGCACATTGCCCATGGCGGGGAACACGACCCAGGCTGAAAGATAAGGGGATCATGTTAAAAGCAGTATTGGGCGTCGCAGGCCATGGAAGGTTGCCCTGTGAGGGGCCAGTGGAGGCTGAGCCCAGGGCACCACTTGAAGCAGGGACAGGCAACGTGTCCCAGAGCCACAGCAGCGCCTCAGGACCATGGAAGGACAAGGGCCCAGAACTGGGCGCACCACACCACTGGGCTACACTATCTGCCACTGCCCATCACTGAGGACCTGCTTACCAGGTAGACAAGTTTGTGGATATACTTGAGGCCTTTGTCGGGATGATCAGCACCAGTGTGGCCAGAATGGAGGAGCAAGTCGCTAAGGCAGAGGCCCAGCTAGGGACTTTGCCCAGCACATTCAGGAAATTCCTGCACACAATTCACATGTCCTCCTTCAACAAGGCTCTCCAGAGGCCCCAGCAGATCGGATATGAAACCCCGTCCTGAAGACCACTTACCCTGTTACAGTGGAAGCCCTGGGGTCTGAGTGCCAGCCACCTGCCAGAGGGCGCTGCCTGGGATGATCTCAAGTGTTCAGTCAACTGAAAACCCTATTATTAGACATACATGATGTTGGAGTATAGAATTTTAAAGTTTATTTTTTGCACACTATTTCTCACTATCTTCATTATTTCACATAGGATGTATGATTCTTCTATGTCTTCCATGTCTAAGCTGCTTGGTGAAGGGATCGGGGAAGCCAAGTGAAAGAATTCAGCTGTGCACTGTGGCAGAACTGTTACTTTTATGGGTTTTCCAGCTCAGCTAACAGCGTGACTTTTTCACAATTTGTATCTACTCTTAAGAAAAACCACTGAGCCGTTAAAGCCTTGCTATTATTTGGTCCCACTATTGATTTCAGTTTCCTATAGCTTACTTTTAGGGTAGGTGGTCAATTATTTAACATTATGTTAAACTCTCCTTATCATGAATTGTAAACTGAAGGAAATCATACAATTTCTGAGGAAATGTAGAAAGGATGACCTCAAATCCTGATTATAGCAAACATGTCTATATATGGTTGCCAACGTTTGGTTTATAATATAAATATTAAAAATTTTAAATTTTATTGGGAAAGCTTTCCTTCTAAAAAGGACTTTTTAAAAAAGTATTTTTTTTTTCTCAATGGTGTAACTTACTCCTCCTACTCCTCACCATGGAGAAGCCTCTGAGGAGAGCAGCAGGTGGTGGCCTGCCCTATTGGGGGTTCAGTTTGGGGTGTTAAGGCACTGACAGGAAGGGGGTGGGAAGAGAGGAAATAGCAAAGCTTATTCTGGTGAGGTGGTTTTTTTTTAAGGTGAAAAAGACTTAATGCGCTTTCCCTTAGGACTGGAAGAGGGATCAAGGAGTTGCCTGCCTTGTGGGAGGTCGGGGGACAGGACAGGCAGTCAGGTGCTGAATGAAGCCTCTGAGCTGATGGCAGCTTCTGTCTAGCTGGTTGAAAGGTCCAAGGAAGGAGATGGAAGGCAGCCCCATCCCGAAGGGCAGGTTGGGGCCAGTCCCGAGGGTGCTTAGGTGCCTCACACACGCAACCCCATTGCCTGCATTTGGGCTCAGGTTTAGCCATTGCTAGTTCTGCTGCTCTCTTAAGATCTGACTGCCAAATAAATCATCCTTGTCTCCTTTCTCCTTTAACTTGTGTGTTCTTTTGTGGGCTTAGCAAAGCCAAGTTTCTGGAGGCTTGTTGACAAGGGACAATTGCCTGGTATTTTTTCTGCAGTAGAAGAAGGTGGGAAGTTCCCAGTCAAGCAGAACTTGCCTCCTCTGGGCTACAAGGAGGATGAGGCCACCCTCTCCTCCAGGGTGCCCACCTAGGGTGTTGATGGGTGGAGTGTGGCCAGCCAGCTATGGCAGTGGGCAGTTCCACAGAAACCTCTCCTTTCAAAAAAGACAGTGTTAAACGTAGGATGCTAGGTGCCGTGCTGGTTACCTCTGGAGCATGCAACCAAAATCTGCTCAGAATATAGTTGAAAAGTTCCTTTCCTCCTTTTCCCCTCCTGTGGCTGCTTTTATCATGGTCTGTGCTGGTGGGGAGAAAAAAAATCATACCATACAGAGTGCCTGCCTGCCTGGTGGGTGGATGGGTGGAGACAGGCATATGAAGCCATCCCAGGGAGCCTGAGAAAACCTGTCATCGAAGGGATACAGGTAAGTGTAATTAGTTGGTTCTTAGGATGGTAATTAGCATCCCCTGCTGCATAGACCAAAGCATGGTTGGTGGCTTTGGACCAAGATTATTTTAAGACGAGCCCAATGTGGATTTAGAGTTGTAGGTTCAAAACATCCCTTTCCTATTTGACAAGTCAGACCAAAGACATATATTTCTCAAGTTCACAGATGTGGGGTCAGTCCTGGTTCATTGTAGGCCCCTCTGAGCATCACCCACTTGGAGAACTGGGCTCATCACTTTAACTATTTCCTGTCATTCACTGAACTAGGTATGATAGCCAGTACCCAACTGCCACTGCTCAGGTTCTTGCTCGCCTACTAGAGCTTCCTGGTACTTCTCAGAGGAAGGAGGGTAGTGAGTGATAGCCCAGAAATAAGCCCATGCCTTTATGGTCAATATTTGACAAAGGAGGAAAACATACAATGGGGTAAAGACGGTATTCTAGCAATTTTCAACCAGTATGCCACAGTTATTCTTAAAATATGCAATACCTGACTATTCAGGGGCACTGACCTCTTCCCTTAGATTGTCAAATAAAAAAAAATGACAACAGCCAACACAATAGCCATCAGGTCTGAATACGCTGCCTTGAACCATAACATACAGCTCCTATAATAGATTGCATCTTATTGGTCACATTGCATAAGGTTGCGTCCAATTGGTTAATTCTTAGTACCAGAAATCATATATACAAGTATAGGCACTTGGTTTTTTACAAATTCACTTCGGAGATAAAATGGTACGTAATTTGGTAAATCTGTCAAAATTATATCTTTTTTTTTTTTGTCACATCACCAATAAATATATTTTTTGCTATACCACAGAATTTTAGTAATTAGTTTATGTCAGTCATGGGATGGAAAAGTTGAAAATCGCTTGTCTATTCAATAAGAGGTGTTGGGAAAATTGTACAGATGCGTACAAAAAAATGAAACTAGACTGCCTTCTTACACTATATGCAAGAATAAACTCCAAATGGATTAAAGACTTAAATGTAAAACTTGAAACCATAAAACTAGAGAAAACATAGGCAGTAAAATATCTGACATTTCCATTAGCAATATTTTTTTCTGACAAATCTTGGCCACAGGAAACAAAAGGAAAAACAAATTGGGACTACATCAAACTAAAAAGTTTTTGCATAGTAAAAGGGAACCATCACCAAAATGAAAAGACAATCCACTGAGTGGTAGAACATAGTCACCAATGATACATCTGACAAGGAATTAACCCAAAATTTATAAGGAACTCATACAACTCAACCTTTTTTAAAAATTCAACTAAAAAATGGGCAGAAAACCCAGATAGACACTTCTCTAAAGAGGACATACAGATGGCCAATAGGCATATGAAAAATGCTCATCTTTTCAGAGAAATGCAAATTAAAAACCACAATAAGACACCGCCTCACCCCTGTCAGAATGGCTAGCCTCAATAAGCAAGTGCTGGAGAGGATGTGGGGAAAAGGGAACCCTAGTGCACTGTTGCGGGGAATGCAGACTGGTGTAGCCACTGTGGAAAGCAATATGGAGTTTCCTCAAAAAATTCAAAATGGAACTGCCTTATGACACAGTGATTCCATTTCTGGGCATGTATCTGAAGAAACCTGAGACACTCGTTGGAAAGAATACATGCACCCTATGTTCATTGCAGTACTTTTTACAAAGCCAAGCTTTGGAAGCAGCCCAAGTGCCCATCAGTAGATGAGTGGATTAAAAGGCAGTGGTACATTTACACAATGGAATATGACTCAGACAGAAAAATAAATAAAAGAATGAAATCTTACCTTTTGTGACAGCATGGATGGACCTGGAGAATACTATGCTCAGGGAAATAAACCAGGCAGAGTAAATACCATGTAATTTCACTCGTGGAATCTAATGAACAAAATAAACGAACAAAAACACTCATAGGTACAGAGAAGGACTGATGGCTGCCAGAGGCAAGGGGAGCTGGGGGACTGGGTAAGACGTGACGTGATTAAGTACAAATTGGCAGCCACCAAACAGGCACAGGGCTGTAAAGCACAGCATAGAGGATACAGTCGGTAACTGTGGTGCCGGTGGGCACCTGAACTGTCAGGAGGACCACTTTGTAAAGTGTAGGATTGTCTAGCCACCATGCTGTATAGTGGAAACGACTACAAAATAGCATTGAATGTCAACTGTAATGGGGGGTGGAAAGGTGGTAGGGGTGGGACTTAACCTGGGCTCTCCTGACCCATGTTTTCCGGCTCCAGATACTGGTGGCCAGGAGAGAGCTTTCCTGATGAGTGAAGGAAGAGTCTGTGCTGGCCGTTAGGGGCGACTGTCGTCCTTGCTGGTGGCAGCCACTTTAATTGCCATCGTGCTGCCCCTCCTGTTCCTGAACACCAGCCTTTCTGGAGCACCCCTGCGGCACTGCCTCTGCTCCCACTGCAACCTCCTGGTCCTGCTTCCTGGAAGGGACAGGACAGCCTCAGTCAGGCACATTCACACATCAGTCTCATCTCAGATGCCTCCAGACTGGCTTGATGGTTCTTGGTTGGCCCAAGAGGCCCAGCAAGGGGTAGGGGTGAGGGGAGACCCTCAGTTGGGAGGAAATGTCTTACTCTCCAAGCCCAAGGTTGGTAGCTGTCTCCCTACACTGCCCACAGGCCATGTCCCTGCAGTCCCGCAGCTTGGGCAGGCTGGCTGCCTTCCACCCACAGTCATGCATCACCTGGGAAGCGTCTGAAAAACTGGTTTCGGGGACCCTCGCCTGTATTTTTCAAAAGCTCCCCAGATGACCTGAATGAGTGGTCAGGGCTGAGAGCAGGGCAGGAAGAGGAAGTCAGTGGTACCAGGGCAAAGGCAAGAAGATGTTCCTTTGCAGGGTCCTCTGTTCCTGGCTGGCTGGCAGACTAGGGACAAGTAGACGGATCAAGTGGCCGGCCTTGACTCACCCGGTGGTCACATGCACACACAGCACCGCCTCCACAGTCAGACTGTCCCAGCTTGATCACAGGACTCGGGTCAGAACTCCTTGCTCTAAAGGCTGCCCTGGGGGGGAGGCAAGAGCAGTTTCTGACCTGCTGAGAACACTGACACTGGTAAGGACCTGGGGCCATGCACATCCTGAACATCACCTGAAGGCTGGGGCTAGAAACTCACTTGTCTTTCCACTTGAGCCCATCTCGAACTTTCAGTTCTGTTGAGGAAAAAGTATAAGTCACATCAGGTTATCCCATCAAACTAGCTCATGGAACAAAATGAGGCCATGCTTCCTCCACATTTCAGTTACACAGTCCAGCCCTGACTCAGTCTGAGGACCCTCCTCACTGGGTCTTCTCTGATAATCTCTAGAGTCCTCGTGCCCAGATGTCAGTTGGGTTTTGTTCGCTGTCTGGAAACCCACAGCCACCCCTTGCTGGCCACCTCTCCCAATTCCATCCACAGTTGTGTCCCAAGCGAGCCATTGCCTGAGTGTGCACCCACCCTGGGGGTCAGCTGAATGGCCTCAGGTTCCACACCTGTGTGGTCTAGCTCCCAGGGTGCCCTCTCACCAGATACCTGATGACTCCCAGCTCCATTCGGCCTCTATCTGAGAATTTCTAAGAGGCCGGATTTCTGCTGCGTAGAAGCCGGGCATGAGCAGTGCAGGAGAAACTTCTGAGTGGGTCGAGGGAAACTGCCCTGCTCATCCATCCAAGCTCACAGCCGGCCTCGCCCACAGAGTGAATCCACAGATGTGAAGTGTTTTTAGCTTTTTTTTTTTCTAACTCCCCCACAAAATAAAAGTCAGCAGATGTGAAATGCATTTAAATTTTTATTTAGGAACAATTGAAAGATTTGAAGTACCATTTCAGCCCATTTCAAATTGTACAAGCAGTTTTTCCCTGTTGCCTTCTCTTATCCACATCCACAGATACAAAATCTAGGAAATGTGCAATTTGCATCTTAGAAATAGCAGCATCCCTACAGGGACCTTGTGAGCCTGGAGACGGCCCAGTGCCAGCCTCGCCTCAGCACAGCCATGGTCCAAAGGCAAGTCACAATCTCTGTTAAAAACATTCCCCTGTGGCAGAATCCCGTTCCACCCAGGCCTAAAGGACAAAGCCACAAAGCGCCCCTCTCTGTTTGCGCGCTCACAGTGGCCACCGCAGGACGTGGGACCCCTCCTACACGGTTTGGTAACGTTTTAATCTGCCTCCCGACAAACAGAAACAGGGCAGCTGCCTCTTAGCACCAAGGTGATCACTTCTTCAGCCATCTCTGGGAGACAAGAAGCAAACCAGAAGCAAACTGGTCAACAGTCATCCCCTCCTCACTTCTCAGCAGCCCTCTGGAACAAAGGGTTTGTACAGAGTCCAGAATCTACCGACAGTCGAAAACCTGGAATCAGGACCTTGAGGAAGGAATCTGCAGGCCTTTGGCAAACTCCCGAGTTCCACAAAGACTGTGCGCAGTAAACTTTCAATGAACAATGGCCGGCAGGAGTGGGGAAG